CCAGCTATGACATTATCTGTCTGACCCTGGCATCCCACTTAAATTCCTAAAGAAGAACAGGCTATCCTTTTTCCTGATCCATACATATACATAACAAAAAAGAAAATAATCTTGAGTCAAAATTCTAGCCTCAATCCAACTGCAACTGATGTAACAGGGAGAATGCCTTTGAAGTAAATAACATTTGGTTCTTTGATTTTGACCTCAGTCTGGATCGATTTATTAACTGTAAGTAACGATCAAATCTTAGCTGCCAAATGCCCGTTCTTCTCCTCATCTTTTTTGGTATATTTTGTCAGTACCTTTGTGATGAAGAACTCCAAATGTGTTTATCAACACTTACAGAACAAAATTTGGCACTATTAGGAAACCCCTTATGTTGGAAATTCTTTTTTTAATCTCGGTGAAAATACCATTTCTGAACATGATTCATCACAGCAGAGTTGTTTAGGGTACATACACATACAGAATATACCATGTGGCCTAGATGTTCATTACTGATTGGTATAATATGGCTGCTGTTTGTTAGGGTAATTAAAATCTTCACAGATATTTTTTTAATACTTTCATCACTTCAGTTGTATGCACCTCCTATCTTTCTTTTCCAGGACAGAGATTCTTTTCTAGTGTGGCTCCAGTGTCTGGAACAGTGAGCGTCACCTACTTTAAAATTTCTGGCCACCTACTTTAAAATTTCTGGCTACATCCCCAAGAGAAATAATCATTCTTTTCACCTGTAAAATCCTCCAATATTGGTAAACTAGCATATTTTTATAATTTTTTGCACGTACACACATTTCTTTTTTTTACCCAAATCTCAAATGAATCACTGTTGCTACTAACACCTTTAAAGACATTCTAGTTCAGAAGTAATCATGCACCTGAAGCAGTGTCTATTTATAAACACTTGCAATGCAATTTGGAAATGACATTTGTTCATCCAATTTCTGGTTGCACAGAGAAGGAATTTAGCCAAATTGCAGACAGTGTTGTAAGGGCCACGACTGAAGTTAATAGGAAACAAACCAATAAAGAGCATTATCCAGAAATAGCAGCCTGGGACATGTATATCCACAAAGAAACTGGAGGCTTTGCCCATGAGACCACATGTTCCACAGCAAATCCTATTTCCTTTATTCTCTCTTTCATGGTTATTGTAAGAGTAGTCATTGCATGATTATAGTCCTTATATATAACATATCGGTTTCTTTGTGTCTCGGTTTGGTTTTTGCCCAAAATTGGTGCTAACTGAATTCACTGAACAAATGAGAAAAAAAAATCCACAACTCCAATCTTATCAACAGACTCACAAGTCAGAAACCATGTGAAGAGACCAAAAGATCAAATTTTACATCTCTCAGGTATCTTACATGATGGTTCTTTTTTCCCCTAAATATTAACCATTAGCTATTTCTTTTGATGTTTTCCTTGCTGAAAAATTATAAAATAAAACTAGCAGCATAAAATGTCTGATGTAGAAATCCAAATCATAATGAGGAAGAAGTTAATTTACCAACTTCTAAATAAAAAAAAAAAAACAAATAGCCTACTGGTTCTACCATAACATAGGGAAATGAACATCAAAAAAACACTGAGTTTATAATAAAAGTCTAAAAATAATTCTGAAAAGATTAGGGTTCTCCCTGCTGAGCTACAGAACTTAGCTCTATTACCTGCCCTTGTTACTGAAGCACAACAGTAACCTAAGACATAACTAACAGGAGGAAGGAAGCAATCATTCTGAAAAAGACTTATGTATGATAGTGAAAAACACACTGGGCATGAGTTTCCATAGTGATTCAGCAACAAAAGGCTGCTGCAATTTTCAGCTGTCTATACCAAGACAGGAACAGTGCAAAGGGACTACAGTCCCTTCTCTGCAAGTTGGGATGTTAGTATACTCAGAATTGTCCATTGAATTTTAAGTTCCACATTATAAAGAAGATATTGAAGGAACTGGAAGAGGAATAATAATAATAAAACAAAGAAGTTCTGCAAGAAGCAAAACTACTATGGATTTGGATTTCATGGTTGTATTCTCCAGTATCTTAAAAATGCAAATTCCAATATGTACTTTCTCCTAGGCATCTCCTCTGTGGATTCTCTGATGTTTAATAACAAATGACCGCATAATATAGCCTGTCTGCCAGTGGGAACACTAAAGGGTCTCTTGCCCATTAGGCAGCATGCTTTCCTGAAACTTACAGGAATCCCTGTCCAGGGGTGCTGAAACTGCCAGAGTTAAGAAGATATTAAAGGAGAAAGGAGAGGAGAAAGATCAAGAGCCACACAAAAACCTCAGCTAGCAAGTAGACAGTATGATCATGTAAGCATTGTGTCCTTGGAAATCTGGGCTAATTATCAAAGTGCTGGGCAGATTCACTTATAGAATCATAGAATGGTTAGGGCTGGAAAGGACCTTAAGATCATGTAGTTCCCAAACCCATTGCCATGGGCAGGGACACCTTTCACTAGATCATGTTGCCCAAGGCTCATGTCCAACTTGTCAGGGATAGAGCATTTACCACTTCTTTGAGTAACCTGTTCCAGTGCCTCACCACCCTCACGGTAAAGTAATTCTTCCTTATATCTAACTCAAACTTTCCCTGTTTAAGTTTAAACCCGTTACCCCTTGTCCTATCACTACAGTCCTTGATGAAGAGTCCCTTTCCAGCATCTTTGTAGGCCCCTTTCAGATACTGGAAGGCTGCTATGAGGTCTCCACGCAGTCTTCTCTGCTCCAGGCTGAACAGCCCTGAATTTCTCAGCCTGTCTTCCTACAGGAGATATTCAAGCCCCTTGACATACCTATGGCCATCCTCTGGACTTGATCCAACAGCTCCATGTCCTTATATTGAGGGCACCAGAACTGCACACAGTGCTCCCAAGTGAGGTCTCACAAGAGCAGAGTAGAGGGGCAAGATCACCTCCTTCAACCTGCTGTTCACATTTTCATTTATGATGAAAGTCCAAAAGCCCCAAAGTGGAAAAATACTTAAATACTTAAAGTTCTGGTAGGTCTTTTATCTATTGCTGCATTCATAACAAAATACTACACTAATCGAATTGCAAAAACTGCACTACTATCATAGTAGAACTGAAACCTAAATCATAAGTACATACGGTAAAATTCTGTGTTCCTAGAATTTGTATGGCTGTTGTTTTTACACTCTGTCTTCTTCATTCATTTTTTAATCCATTTGTCCACTGCTGGATGTCAATGATTGGTCTGATGCAACAAGAGAAAAACAGAATGGATAATTTCTAATGCAGTTAATAAAGGAAGGTTTCTTGTTTTCTTGATGATACTACTGAAATGAATTTCTTTCTGAGAAAAAGCTTTAGTGTGAAACGTCATACAAAAGCGGAGATATAATGAGAAGACAGTCTTCAAATCTAAGTAAAGAAAGTTGTGTAAGAATTTGAAGCAGAAGGATGAAGAACAGTGAGAAGGAAATGTAATACAGATGATATATAAAAGTAATAAAAGCAGCTACTCCTTTTGAATCCTCATTTAAACGGCTGAAACCAGACCTGGATCTGCCTTTGTCCCACATCACCTATATGATACATCAAAATAAATATAATATTATACAGGTAATTATTTATATAGAGTTATTAAAAGATCTACATTTACACATAAAGTGATCAAAGTTACCTGTGTATTACTGCAACATTTTTAAGCAACACTGATTAGTATGAGTTTCCTTGTTATTATCTTTTAGTAATACATAAAAGACTATAACTAAAATGCACAAACCAGATTGCACAGTATGTTTGATGTAGCAATTTCTAACATTCATTTAATATAGCTCAGCTGCAATGACTAATACTGCCAGTGTCCTCTAGTACAAAGACCTAAAAAAGGTTCCAGACTAGATTACGTTCATGCAGGTCTCATTTTAACGGAAATTGGAGAGATGAAAAAAAGATTATAGGAACACACATTATAAAAACAGACCTCACAAGTCAAACTTAATAGTGAAACCATTCTCTTTCATGTAGACAACCATGAAAACAAATATCCTGTAAGCACTAGATATATATTGTATCTTTCTACCAGATCTCTTTGCATCCTTGAGACAGATTCCCATTCTTCTCATGACTATATAATTTGATCATAGATGAGTAAGGCACAGCAGAGGAAAGGGTCTGTCTGATAAAGTATCAGGCTCCAGGAAAACAGATAAACAATTTGATGATTTCTAGTTGTAACAGGAATGGTACAGTGGTGGGTATTAAGATATTAGTCTCGCAGGAATACCAATATCAAGCTTCTGCAGTTTTTTTCTCTTACTAAATATGTTTTCTTTCCATTAAGTGAAAATGACAGTCTGATTATGATAAACTAAGACAGAACACCAGAATAAAACACAAGGTGGGTGTGAAAAGTGGAATTAAATCGTTTTTGGTTTGTCAAAGTGAATGTACATAACTTCTTTTTTTTCTTAAAGATAAGTGAGAAAATGGAGCAAGAAAGTTTCTTTCTCATGCAAATTTTTTTTACTGCAAATAAACATCCTTTAAAAGCAGGTGAAATAGTTGCCTATCAAGTTGTTTCACATTCAAACCTCTTTCACAAGGGACACATTGGCAGGCAACTCTACAAGTCACTAGAGTAATACATTGTTCTGCATGTATTAAATGAGTGATAATACTTGAACAGCTATGATGGACTTCTTTTTCATGTATTAACAGATATATTTGGTTTGCACATATTAACATAAACATATCGCAGCTTTTACTAATACAACTCCAGTTAGGTGGAAAACGTTATGCTGCCTTTGTAATTATGTCCTGTCTTGGATAGCTGAAAACCACGGTGATATCCAGTCATGCTGAAGTCTCCTTTTACTTACAAAAATTCAAAGAATGAAAATATATTTTACAGTAAATTTGTACTTATAAATGCTGGATATCATCTCTTTTTGTTTATGAAACTATATTCTGGAGTAAGCAATTTTTAAAGCTGTCATGCTATCTACTTTAGTATAACTTACCTGTGACTCTTTTACATTTTCAACAGTGAAGTTGAACCAAACTCGAAAGCGTGGGTTACAAGTATCTGGTCTAATGAACAGGTCATACTCGAACTCTGTGATGTGGTCCACCCGTCCAAGGTTACCTACCAAGAACATATGAAAAAGAATGAATATTAATGAATGACTGGAACTACACTGAGAAAAAATGTAAGACCTTCTGCCTCTGTTGATTAAAACATACTAGTATAATAACCCTTGTAACAGTTCAGAATTATTATTAAAAGACTTAATCATAGTCACAAAATAAAATACATACCAATGAGTTACATGCATATTAATATACCAAAAAGAAGACAAATTGGATTTTTATTATTTGATCAAGTTGACTTTTTGTCTTCACTTATCTGAGTATTCTACTTAAGTGTCCTAACATCCTTTTGTTTCCCTTTCCTCCCCCTACCCTCCCCTCTGCACCTCTTTTAGCCCCCACCTGTATGGATTTCATTCTCTGGCTGGTTCTCCGAGCATCCCTCTCTCCCCATAGATGGGCCAGCCTTCACTTTCTTTGTGGTTCAAAAGCTACCTTAATACTTCACTATCTGCGGCCACTATCACCTCCTTCCAAAGACACAGAGGCTGCAAGATTTTGCTTCAGCTTTTTCCTGGTGAATTTCATGGAATAATATTTTTAAATATAGTCAGAGCTACATTGTCCCCTATGGCATTATTTAGCAAGCAACCACCCTGGCTACAGAAATGAAGTTCAACACTGGGAAAACTTGCTAAGTGTTTTTAAATTGTTAAATTGGCATTTTTCCTTTGAAGTCTGCCAAGTCTTTTAAAGACAGGGGTTTGACTGTCCATTTCTACACTACGAAAATGAGACTTCACATTTTCCTGACCCAATCCAAAACCCATCTCATCAGGTCTTGTAAGACAGGGCCATGCTTTAGCTCACATGATATATTATACCTATTAAGAAAAAATAGCTCTGAAAACCTGGGTTTATGGTTTCAGATAGATTTTGAGGGTTATTTATATATTTGGGGGTTAGATAGATACTTTTTGGTTCAAATAATTACTTATAGTGTTATCTGAGCTACCTGAGCTCTGCAAGTCCACTTCAGTCAATGTGACTGGTCATTGGTAACAGGCTATTAGTATGAGCACAAGTCTCAAAAGCAGCGAGAAAAGCCCATTTTCAACCCTGTTCATCAATATATTTGCAGGATTTCTTCCTTATCCTAAATTGTTTCTGGCTTTACTAATTGAACATTTTTAGTCTTCCTTATTTTTAATGTTATCCTGTACTTTCCTACCCACATTCTTCTTTTGAGGAGAAAATTCCCTTCCCTAATTCCCTCTGCAGAAAACCTCTTCATGCTAACAATCTGTTCCTAAATACTTGCCTGAAGGATACATTTGCCATTTGAAATATTCGGGGGGGGGGGGAGGAAACAACAACAACAAAAAAAACCAAAAAGTAATATTTTACAGCTAGAATACCTCTTATAAATCTTGTCATTTGCTACATCAGGTGTCCATGCCTGGGTGCTGGCAGTGGGGGCCGCAGGGCTGAGCTCTGAGGTAACCGGTTGGAGCCGGTTGGAGCCGGCACCACAACTGCCCCACCACAGGGCACAGCCGAGCCCCTCAGCGAAGATGGTGGCACCTCAGTGATGATGTGTTTAAGGAAGGGTAAAACCACCACGCAGGCAAAGGAGTGAGGGAGTCAGAGGAGAATGAGGGTTCAAGGAGGAGGGAAAGGGATCCTGTGGGAAGAGGCGGGAGCAGGTGGATATTTCCCAAAGGAGCAGTGTCCTGTGGAGGACTCACTCTGGAGCAGGCTCTCCTGACAGGATCTGCAGCCCATGGGAAGAGCCCAGGGTGGAGCGAGGGAACACTGTGAGGAGGGAGGTATGGCAGAGAGGAATGATTACAGACGGACCACAGCCCCTCGTCCCCCTGCACTGCTTCTGCTTGCTGCGGGGGGGATGGAGTTGATCCTGGGAACAGTGAAGGCTAGGGGGAAGGTGTTGTTTTAGTTCCCCTTTGTTTTTCACTCTCCAAACCTATTTTAACTGGAAATAAATCAGTTTTCCCTCAGTCAGGTCTGTTTTGCCTGTGATGGCAATTGGTGAGCTGTCTCCCTGTCTTTATCTCGACCCGTAAGATTTTTCATCTTGCCTTCTCCCCCATCCTTGAGATGTTGAGGAGGGCAAGTGGCAGAGCGGTTGGGGGGGCATCCAGCAGCTGGCCATGGTCAACACAGGCTTCAGGTTAAGTCAAACCACCACCATCATTCACACCAACATAGCTTAATTGCTATTATAGCTATCATTGTTATTATAGCTATTATTGCTATTATAGCTATAATTTCCTACACATTGTTATCCAAAGTAAGTAAGAATGTAAAATCAAGCTATTGCATTGTAATACCTTTAATTAAATTACTTCTTTTTATTGTATTTTTCATTAAATATCACGCATATATGACATTGTTAGGAAAACAAAATTCCTCATTTATTTCAGAATTCAGGTCCAAGCTGTTCAACCCCACAGGCTGGATTACAGTTGCCTCACAGGTTTGAGCTCTCTCTGGACAAAGCTTAGTGTGTGGACACACCAAGTCACTTCAAGCGGAGTTGTACATGTGGTTCTGGTGGATCCTCTAAGGCAGCAAGCTAGGTGAACACAAACTGTGGACTAGGTCCAGCATGTAAAGTACTAGGTATACATGCCTCCCAGTGATCCCAGAAATTTCAGATATGGATTAAGTCATCTACAGCACAGACCAGAGTGCAAATTTTGATTGAATTTCTCCCAAAGAAGGACACAGAAGTAACTAAATTTATATTTTAAGTCCACAGATCATTAAAAAGTTTCACTGCAAGGCATAGGACGCTAAAAGATTATTGCGTAAATAAAGACAGGGCAAAATGAGAGCTTGATTTCTGACCTATTGCCTATTTCAGCTTGTTTTTCAGCATCAAACTGATCTGAACTGAATGGGGACAGATGGCCCACTCAGAACTACCTTACAGAGTCATAGTACCCCTAAACTAGCACTTGAGAGTTGTACCGATGTCAGTGAAATCACGGATGGAGAAGAGCTGGTATGCTAGAACCCCCTCCAAGCCAGTCTGCTCTGTAAATCCGATATAATATCCTCAAAGCCAGCAGAATCTTTAACAATATAATCATTGTGTGCATGACTCCCTGGGACTCCCAACACTGTTTTCTCTCTTCATCAGTAATACTTGATTTGAATACTCACCCCCCCTTTTAGTGCAGCATTATCTCCTTTGGTGAATCGAATCTCACTTTACTACTCTTTTTGCCTACAGAACAGCCTGTTACTAGGCTCCTTCGTGTTACACGTCAGCTGCCATAGTCACCTGCAGCCATTTGCAGTTCAGTATCATTTGTACGTTTCAGCGGCGCATTATTTCTTCTCTGTCTCTAGCTGCTGAATAGGCTGGATCAAACAGTAATGCCTTTGGTAACCAATTCAACAAGTTCCTCATGCTCAATAGACTATTGTTTGTAATATCAGAGCCTTTGCTCTCAATCTGTCAGCCTAACTTCAACCCACATAGCAATGTCATTAAACAAGACAGAAGTTTTGGTACAAAGAAGTCTAGAAGTGTAAGAACAAAACACTTCCTCGCTGTAAGAGGTGCTTTGTAGCAAACTGATAATGCCACTAAAAAGCATTTTTTGGTGTCCAAGAAAAAATAATAAACTTCCCAACCTTAATCTCATAAGCAAAGCTAACAATTTTACATACTGCCTTCATACTGCTGTAATCATGGGAAATAGATTTATTCTAATTGTGAGAATTATATTCCAATATGACAAGTTACACAGTGAAGTGCATTAGAAACTATAAAACAGGAGTTAAACTACTGATTATGCTATAGCCATTACACCATTTTGACACTTTAACACTGAAAATAAACATTTTTCTTATTAGCTCTATAATAGCCCTTCTGATTTCTCTGTTCTATTTTGTTAAATGTATGGCAAGAGAGAAGACTGTAATGAATGGTTAGACAGTAAGTTTCTCCTGTGTTACAGGAATCTCTGCAATTACGCAATACAAACCCTCTGCTCTGCAGTACTTGAGGTGGACGGTTGCTGAGCTGAAATGATATTAAATTTAAGAGAAAGTCAGATAGCACCAGGTTTGTGTAATGAAAATATCAATAGTTTTCAGTCTCGATATACCTACTGTGAAACACTTCCCGTGCACAGCTTTTATTCTGTGTACGTTGCTAGGCTGGTAATTTGTGATATCAGTAAGTCTGTTCATCACCACATTGCTTAAGTACGTTCTTTAAAAATCAAGGAAAAAAGTCTCATGCTACAAAAACATAATCTTTGCTTTGCTTTACTTTGGGTTCATGCCCGCACAAAATCATTACCACCCCATTCAATAAATACAGAAGTTGCATGTACAAGATAATACAACATTTTTTACAGCACCTTCACTCCATAATTTGTGATTAGCTTTATATTTGGGGATTAATGTTATACAACATAAGATATTAAGAATGTTGTTTAAGGTACATGTAAAATTAATGAACTGATTGAGTAATGTGATCTGCAAGGGAAAAAAGCCGAATATGAGCGGCGAGATCTGAACTTATTGACATTCTTAAGACAATTCTTGCTTACTTATATATATACGCATGTATGTATTTTAAAGTTTGGGTGCACATCTGGCTGTCCAGTGGCTTTCTGACTATATTCTAAAGTGAAATAAGCATTTTATTAGTGTAGCTAGCACTTCACAAAATATTATGGACTTTTTTTCCTATGCACTCTGAAGTTAGTTACAGGAGTTTATGTTTTTTCCTATTATTATTTTACTTTACAGAAATATAGGCACAGATCTTTTTTAACTGATGTAAGGTGTGAACAAATCAAATTCCCAAGTGTCTATAAACTGACTTCCAATTAGCCTTGGGGTTTTAAGACATGCTCCATTTTCAGTCACAGTTCTGTTCAATACTCTTGGCAACTGAGAAAAGAAGGGACATACTTTTCTTTAATCATTCAAGCGAAATTCTTGATTATATTTGCTAAAATTGCTTTATAGAGTAATGTTTAGTATAACACACTCAAACTTGGAGAGTGAAAAGGGTCAATAGCATGTTTCAAGTTTCTTTAAAAGTCTGAAAAAAGCCCAGTGTTACTATTTTATTAATCATGCAACATACACTTAGTCCTCATAAAATATTAATGTATATTGCTTCCTGCATCAATACAAAGTGTACTTTGCACAAAGAAAGAAAACCTGCTTAAGAAAATGCTGGCTAAACTTACTAAGCATTCTAACAATTATCATAAAAACACTAGAAAAGAAAATATAGATATGTTAAGCAATCCTAAAATCTTCTTAAACCACACATTGTGCTTTCCTACAGAGAATTTTAAGATGAAAAATAGACCTTGAGGGTCTTAGACAAGCCTCAGGCAATATAAAGAAAAAGGTCAAACACTCTGCTAAAAAGGACCGTTATCTTCAGAACAACAACTTATCAGCCAGCTTGCAGCCCTGCTTATTTACAGTTATTGGTCCCAGAGGAAGTGCACTTCAGCGCAGGGCGCGATTACTTTGTAATGAGTTTGCCAGAAATGGTAAAGGAAACTAATTTGTAACAATGTGCTGTTCGCTGCACATGAACTTTCTCAGACACTTTTTTTTTGTCCACCAATGAATAACTAACTTCAGCCTCCCTAATAAGCAGTGAAAACAGAAGTGCACTAAAACCAACTGAGTCACAAGCATAAATGTGCTGAAATATCAGTGATTATCCCTCTCAGCTGTCCATTACAGTACTCATGATGACCACCAATTCCCCTGTGGTGGATATATAGAATGCAGGTTTCAGGGGGTGGATTTGCACATGAAAATTAACACCATTTGGAAGAAAATAGCCTGCACCTGTCACAGATTAGCAACAAAAGGTCAAATGCCTCCTTTTACACCTAGAGCACTTGCATATTGTATGCCTTGCTTATAGGAGCCTAATTCTAGTTTCTTAATTCAGAAAAGTGAGCACCATGGTGAACTGAGGAGAAAAAAGAATTAAATCTTGGCTAAAAGCTATCAATAAATCTATTGATCAAGATACATATGAATGGAAGTAGCTGAGGCAATCTCTGTCTCTAAAAAAGGTAGTTTTTCAAAGGAGAATTACACAAAGTGCTCTTCTGTTTTTGTCAATATGCTGCCAGGTTTTGAAATGCTATTTTTCATCCACACAATAAAAATCTTGACAAGAAAGCAATAGAAAATCACTAATACACTTGCAGCTGCATTTCAATCTATACAAATTCTTTAAACAAAAACAACCACGGAACAGATTGGAATATACATCATTTTCACCAGTTGAAGCTGGGATCAAGTTTAAGATAGCCAAACAGTACTAATCTATATTTTCATGCAACTCTGTATTTCACAAAATAAGATTAAATGCAGAATATGGAATACCCTCTATGGAATTCATCCTTAAAGATCATAAAACACACTGAGATGATAAAGCAAAGAAATTCTATTGATACATTTTAAATGGAACAGGAACTACGGGGACTGAGATCTGTAAAAACTTCTCTTGAGTGAAAGATTAGATATCTTCTGAAAGGAGTGCATTGAAGAATATCAGTTGTAAATTCCCACTGGCTTTATGGTCTTTGTTTGTGAAGAGAGTTCAATGAGAAGTCCTAAACAACTTCTAAATAGCATTTGTTTTTTAAATAAGAAAAAAGCCCATAATGAAATAGTGATGATCTCTGACAACCTGTGACTGGCTTTCCATCTTCTTCTGAGCTCCTGCCCAAAGCATATGTCAAAGCAAAATTCTCAAAACTGCAAAGCACATGATTTGATTAAAAAGACAGTACCATAAAAACCACATATACAGTACCTTGTAAATTAAAGTCTATTTCAAACTGTTAAAATTGCATATATTAATCTCTGCAATAAAAGAAATATCTATTCTGCTACAGTTAAATCAGTGTTTTGGATAAAAACCTCAGTACTATTCAACAATGTAATATTCTTTTAAGAACCTGATGTTTCACTTAAAACAATAGCAACTGTCATGACTCAGCTTTCAGTCAAAATCCAAATCACCTTTGAAATACGTTTGACTATCAAACAGGCAAAGCGTTTCAAAAGTACATGGCTTGAGAAGCTGGATGCTTCACCTTTATTTGTAGTCTTTTGTCTACACTCCCTCCTTGATTAAGCAAGTTGAAATTGTTGACTTTCCATCATGATTTAAATTTTTATTAATAGTGACATCCAAATGACAGTAAATCAGTGGCTTTTGTGAAAAAGGTAGTACAGGAACAATGACTACCTTAGCTCCTACCAGCAATTGGTAAGAGGCCAGCTCCCATCACTGGGAAGGGCAACTGAGCTGTATGTATTACTGCATAACTTACAGAGGCTGAGTGATTCTGACTGAGCTTGTGTTGCAGTTAGACAATGTGATAAAATCTAATTGTGACTGACAGCACATGAAAATTGTAGCTTTTACATTTTTCTTGTTTATCTATGAATATAGCATTAAAATTAATTGTATTGATCTTTTGGGAATGTAAGAGTTTTGGGTCTCCATTTGTTTGTTTCACCACCCAATGATTCAGCAATAATATGAAGAAGAGTAGCAAATCCAAAACTTACAAACATTCTTATCCTTTCTAACTATACCATTAGAGTAACAATATTGATTTTAATGGTGTTGCCCCTAATTCATAACAATGGGAGCACAATCTGATTTTTTACACCTTTTCAGCATCACAGTCTGACTTCCACTCTTTCCAGTATTTTTCCTGACAAGCAATATAAGTGTACTAGATCCATCTCCTGAGGGCATTCTGCCCATAATATCAGGGATCACAGTTACTCTTCCTCAGAGATCCCAAAAAAGTGCAATGAATAAACCTGCAATTCCTTTGCATTGAGTTAAATTGCAGAAATATTAATGAACAGCATGGCCTAGGCTGAAGAACCCACAAGAGTTTTATAAATTAAAACTTTTGTCTCTATTAGAGTAGGTGGCAGAATTTATCAATCACCCACAGCAGCTAATCTGAATCATTAGATTAACAGGAAGCTGTGGAACTAACGTCTGAAGAAAGCAAAGAAAGTACACGGCCACTCTTAAGTGAGTCCCATAACTGTTTTCCACACAGAAAATTAAGGGACTTGGAAACCTCTAAGAAGGAAGGACTGATTGAAAAATAAAAGAGGTGCAAACTAGCTTAAATTTATCAGTTGAATATAAAAGACAAGAACTTTGGAGGGAAAAATCCTGTGGTTTAATTTATTTTATTAAAAACAGCTACAAAAGGATTCTCGTATTTTAGTAGTCTGGACAGTGACACCCATGGATAGTTTTAAGACTTCTTCCTTTCAGAAAAAAAATACTTTTCCTGGTCACTGTTGTTACAGGGATATCTGAGCAAGGGGAAAATGGGAATACAGGGATTAAAATTTATTCAGCAGTATTTTTAAGGCTCCTCCTGCAATGAGAATACTATTATAGATTTCACAACATAAGCAATTTTTAATTTCTATCATGTGTTAATCCTAAAGGCCACCTACTTACATCACTTGCAACTTTCCTCTAAAGATAAACCTGATGAGTAAATATCATTTAGAAAGACAACACAAGCAACTCAAACTGAAATATTTTCTGTGGTTTTATGTTCATTAAAAGGAGCAGTATTAATGGTGAACCAAGTTTAGAGCACAATGGAAAACAGCAGCAAGCAATCCTAAAGATTCAGTGATCATCATTGCTCAAAAACCACCATAAGCAAAACAGCAAAATAAACAAGCAGCAGATATCCCAATATACTACAAATATAATTGTGCAAAAAGCAGGCTTACATATGTATAAAGAAATTATATAATAAAATCATAATGGAGGAATTCAATAGTTTTCATCAGAAGAGATTGGTATTTAGGCACTTGCAGCTTTATTTCAAAACTGCCCTTATCAATAAATACTGGTGCTGTCAGTTAAAGGACCTAAAAACTGGAGCTGTAAGGAATAAAATGTCAGTGTTTGCTGTGTATGGAAATTGTAAATGATGGATAAAATGGAGTCAGTCTCTTGACTCCTCCTGCATCTGTGAGATTCTTATGAACTACAAAAATATCAGCTGCACCCAAGACTGCAGGACAAATTCTCAAAAAAAAATCACAAAATCATGTCAATACATGAAAGAAAGTGGCAGCAGTATAGTAGCAATGCATCAACTTCGATTGTAGGAAGTGTCAAGAATGCTTAAAAATCAAAGGCCCAGGCCCTAAGATGGCCATTGGACACCCTCTACACCAAAACCACCAAATTCCCAGAAAAACCAGCAGACTACTGATTTCGCCGTGCCCTCTTCAATTCCCCAAAGGCCTCCCATGACAGATGGGCAGTTATTTATCCATGGCAATGAACCTTTGTTAAAGGAAAATCAGAATACAAAATGGTTTTGCATTAGTGTCATGAAACTCAGCTTTCTTTAACAAACTATATGCTATCAAAATGAATATCTTGCGACTGTGTATGTATCACATCTTTCAAAGCAAAGCTCTTAAAGGAAAAGCATTTGGGCAAATTTCTGTTTGGAAGTCACTTAGCATATAATGGGTGCTATCCTAAATAAATAATTAATCAGTTAATAAATAAATTATAACAACGTCTGCAGCCTTAGCCATGGAAGCAACCACCAAGGCACTCAGGGAATATGAACTACAGTACCACAGTGGGATGTACCATTATTGGTGTGCAGCAGGGAGAAGCATATCTCTAAGTAAGTACTGTGTCAGGGCCTGATGTTCAATGTACAGCACTGAAATCTGTTGCTGCCTATAGCCTCTAATATAAGACATTCTCATATTTGCCTGTTACTTAGACATCACAGGTTTGCAAGCAACACATTGTAAATGGTTAAAAATATTAAAAGATGCATATTTTTTATTAAGTACATTACGGTAGCCCTAATTATGTAATGCTTCCTACTCAATATAGTCAACATTTTGCAAAGACCCTAAGAATTCTCATAATGCAAAAGGCAAAACAGCTATTCCATCCTACAAGTGAGGATATTGCAGTTGATTTATTACTGTACAGTAATGCTGTAATTCTGCATTTGGCCTAGTTTGGTGTCTCATACACAGAATCCCCATTTTTTCCAGGGGACTCCTTCCACAGGACTCAAACTGCCAGTTGAGGAAAATTAATTGATCTCAATCAGTCTGGAGGTCTATAGCTAAAGTATTCTCAAGGACCTCTCCAAAGTCACCAGAGCTGTAAAAAATTTGCTTTTTTTCTATTAAAGAGTAATAATAGAAAGGTTCCAGATTTTGTCTTATAAAAGCATCTTGCATTTTGAGATGGATCCTGAATAAGAACCTTCTTTAACTAATAAATTACTGATTTTAGAGCTAAAATTTTGCTTATGTACCTTATACAAGAATTTCCTTGAATGATGGTACTGTAAGGATAGACTTTCAGTACACAAACTGGATCTAAATAATATCTGTCCTATGTACAGCTTTTGCACAAGAAACAGTCTTATTTTAGTTTATTATGAAACTGAATATGGTTATCTATGCCATTATCAATCTAGTCACAAAAACAGTTTGGGGGCTAGAAATGTTATTCTCATTCAATACATTAATCCCATTATTTCATTGCCTCGAAGTGAAATCTTATAATATAATCTCCATGATAAAATTTACAGATAGACTTTCATGCAGCCTGGATACATTTTTAGCCATTTCATCACATTAGATTTATACACAACTTCACTGTTCACCTACTCTTCTGCTGCAGTCCCTAGTCTGATGTGCTTTTGTAGAGCAATGCGATTTCCATGCCTTTCTCTTTATTACACAGCAGTTTGATCCTTCTGTAGGTAATGAAATTTCTTCCTGTATTTTCATTTCTATAACTCCGTGACTCCTGTGCCTTGTTATTTTTCCCTTCTTTCAGACACCTACCTGTTCTGGAAGCCCTCCTTGACTTCCAGTCCTACCAAGAATTACGAAATAGCAATGCTGTTTACATCCTAGCTTTAATCCACAGTACTATATATAATTCTGTAATACTAAGGAACAACATTACATGGGTTTGTTTTTATAGTAGTAATAGAATTTAAAGCAGGCCTCTTAACTGTACCCACATGAATGCAACAGAAAACTACTTACCCTCATTTATACTTGTTTAGCTAAAGCTTAAATTAGACCTTAAAAAACTATCTAGTTGGTGTTATTTTTTTCAATCAGAAGTGATAATTTAAATATTGACATTTTAGATGGCACCAACATGTTTTTGTCTTCTGCTATGGTTTTATTATATCTGAATGTCTGTCTTAATTTTGTTGGGTCTTTTTTTTTTTCATTTTGACAAATCCAGAAGCGTTTCCTTTTATTTCAAAGTATTTCTATGTTTGTAGTAAATTAAACATTAATCTTTCTCCACAAATGTCAAGTGATATTTAAATGTTTTTCTGGCAGATAAATGATTATTAATATTAATGCAATAAAATCACAGCTCTTTGTCCTTTCTTTGATATTTAAGAAAAAATTAAGAATGTCAAAACAGCTCTGCAAAAAGAGAATTCATTGGTCTACCATCCACTCTTCATTAGCCTGAGAGGTAAAAAATTACTGATCTTGTGAGACAATGTGTTTATAGAATCAGAAAGGGTTGAAAATGAATTACTCTATCAGTGGTAGAGTGTGTATCACTTCAGTGTGAAAATGCCTTGTTAAAGTTCATTTTAATTTAAAGCCCCCTTTTGTCATTCAAAAAGCTTTAGCACAATGAAAGAATCTTTGTCACTTTCATAATTAGCCCCTTTTGCACTAAATGAGAATAAAATCTGATCAGAAGTCCATACAGGCAAGGTCATAAATCAAACAGAAAAGCTTCACAAACAGTCCTGTAAGATGTCCAAAGGCACACACAGCTTGGAATTAAAGCACTATAGTCAGGATCCACTCCCAGAAACACATCACAAAAAGCCCCAATAATATCTGTTTGACAGGCTAAATTTATCTCCATATTCTGTAGTCCTATAAACACATTTTGCTGTTTAGATACAAAGGCAATTTCAGCACCAAGGACAATTCAGGAAAGCAAACAGCTGTTAAAGTGCTGCTGTTACCGTTTGCCAACCAAAGTCAAATTAATTTAACTTAATGCTCTCACTTCAAACTGTGGCAGGAAAAAAAGGAAAAGAAAAGAAAAAGGAAAGAAATGGGGGGGGGGGAAGCCATATATGATAATTTTCATAAAGCAGGAACAAAAATTGTATTAACAGATAAAACTCCTTAGGAAACCAAGTTTAATTTTATAGGCGTGAGCGTGCAGCCCACCTCAAATGTTAACTGGATTTTACTCGACTTATTTTCATTTTCAGATGAAAGTAAAAAGGCATTTTGAAAGATGTAATAAAATCCTCAGCCTTGGACAGTTATGGAAAGAGAGACAGCACATCACTCTCTATTCAGGGATCATCTGACTACCAACAAGAATCCAAGCCATCAACATATTATTTTACTCCTCATGTTAACACAGAGTGAGGATTTCATCTACAAAAGATGCCTAAAACATAAGGAGAGTGAAGGACAAGTAGAGAGCAAGGTAGGAATTTGAGGGGAAGACTTTTATGACGAGGCAGTCTGCAATGAAAATACATTTTCTAAAACATGTACATTTTACAATTCAATGTATTATTTTAACATTAAAAACTAATTTAAAATATTAATCAGTTGAGAGCTATTTTTAAAATAGCTACATCTATACAAACAGCAATTTTCATGAAAGCACACATTTATCCATAAAGTATACATATATGTGTAGACATCTGGATACACTTCCGCGTTCAAACACACTGCAACGTACATTTAAAATGTGCAACTTTCCTTTCTGAGCATTTGTTTTCTATCAATATCCTCACTGCAGAACCAAACTATTAAAGTCATGTCTCCAGCCATGTAAACACCAAACTACTTTCAAAGTAATGGCTTGGCTGGAGCGGTTGGTTACATGTCTGTCATATTTTCTCAGAATTTCAGGGTACATTAATTACAGAATGATCACAAGTAATTTGATTCCACATATTGAGGAGACATGAAAATTGGTCTGCTAAGCAACAGACTGAAAAGCATTACTGTGACAAAAAGAGAGAAAAGCATTTTCTCCATCCTTATACAGTCTTACATTTCAGTTCATTAACAGTAAACTTCTCAAGTTGGTTAAAATGTAGGGAGAACGCAAGTGATTGTCCTCTTGGATATGGCCATCTGTGCTTGGGTCACAAAAGAAATGTAATTTGCCTTGCCTATAAGACATACAGTTGTCTAAAAAGTGTGAACTGCAAACTACTGTAGAAACAAACCAAGCTGGGAACTGTGAGGAGAGTGTGCAGGTGATTAAAGAAAGAAAATAGATTTAAGATGGATGGGATGAGAATCTGAGGCAGAGATATATTAAAATGCCTACATTTTTTCCTTGTGAGAATTCCAAAAAGCCAATAAGGCTTTTAAACAAAAACCAGGGGGGTTGCTGTATAAGAAACTAGATTAATTGGCTTTTAAATAAAGAAACCTCAAAATTACTAAATTCGAAGGAATAAAAACCAAAACAGATCTCCCTGCCCACTGCGTCTCTGTGAGCAGACCTCTTCCTACAACTGCCTTTAGTTTTCTACTCAGTGAAACTGCCAGAACTGCAACAAATTCTAGATAATCCTCCCCTGGATTTCCAAGAAAATAGTGTCACCTCCATGGCCAACCCTGTCTCTGTTCCTTGTATTTGTCAAGTTTTGCAGTCTCCAGGTGTCCCAGCTTCCCTGCTTGCTGCACCCTCACCCTCATGTACCCACGTCACTCTGTGCTCTGAAAGCATCTCACTTTGGAGCAGGCTCAGAAGCTCCCAATGGAGGGCAAAATCTCCCTTCAGATCATTCCACTTTGCTTTGTCATTTCTCTTTTGACAGAGCAAAAGTGAGACAAATAACATCTCTTTCAGTGGGTTTAAACAGAAAACTTCATCAAATCAACACTTTAAAAGACACTTCCAAAGTTCCTCTCTTGATTCTCACATACTGTGTTTCCATGTGGGGACAATTCAAGTGTTATACAATCAAATAACTCATAATAAGAGGTAGACCCTTCTCAGCATGCCCTTAGTATTTGGCTCCTTCACACCTCCTCATCAAACAGAGAGGATACCAAAGCCTTTGTAACCAAGGAGTTCAGATCTTCCCTTTTCCCCATGCCAACAAAATCTCATACCTTCTCTTTTACTTACGCTGTTACTTTCCACCTTTATCTTCAACACACAAAACACAAAGGAAACAATGATTTTGAAAGCCCTATGAAATATGACTATGGTTTTAAGTCACATTTCTTCTTAATCAAATTCTTAAACAAATGCTGCTGCTACAGTGGAAAAAATAACCAGCACCTCTGCCAATAAGCAATGCAGCCAATGTCATCCAACTGTCAAACTGGGAATTATTACAACATCTTGAAGAAACAGCTCTATAAAGATTGCAACTCTATAAAATTGCAGCTATATTAGCAGGCAATTAATATGAGCCAGAGAACTCAGAGGGACATGGAAGCGGATAAGACATGGAGACAGGACTACATCTACGAAACAGGGGCAAGCAAGCTTCTTCTGCCTGGGCTAATTAGAAAGCCAGAGCTTCTGCAAGAGGAAGTGTGGCCTCACAATTCAAAGGCATGGTCTCAGCTTCTCGTTCTGGCTCTTTCCATCACACTGCAGGTCTGATTGCCACCCATCTGTTAAGAAAGACAGGTAGCACTTGGTCTTACAGATCTCGGCTTGTGCCTCATGAGGAGGCACATAATCTCAACCCTGCTGCCCGTCTTCAGCTGAGATGCATTGATCTTTGTAATGTTTATTCTCCATTAAGAAAGAAATCTTCAGACAAGAGCAGACCAATTATTCTCATATTACTCATGTCTATATATAGGCTGAAGTGCAGGGTATAGCCAGAGGCATATGTGAGTCAATAAGCTATTTGCAAAACCTTGGATGGTGAGCTAAGTGGGAGGTTTGGGCTATATAAAGGCATGGTCTGCAGAGATGCTCTTGTGTTAATAGACAAAGTCAATCACATCACGACCTGACTTTTTCTGTTTTTCTAGTAATTCTTTTATACCCAGAAGTTTCTAGCCTGTTGAGATGCCCAGTTAAACTTGACTCAAGATTCCAATTAAGTGGATTAAAATTAAATTTTATTTGACTGTATCTCTTTTGTATCTAATTTACTATCATGGGTCTGGTTTTGGTAGGACCATATTTTTTCCAAAAAGAGCAAAACCAAAATATTAAAAAAGAAATTGTAGATTTTCAAACCAAAGTCTTCTTACAAGTTATTCCACAAACCCAGAAAACACACTAGTATTTTTTAAGCAATCAGTACTTAAATCATGATAGAGTGATTGTTGAGCTGTATTGTTTCTCGTGGATATGATTGACCTTGGACAAAATTGACCTTGGTCAATTTTATAGTTCAAATGCTGCTTTTGAGACTTCAAAAGCAGTAATGTACACACACATTTAGCAGTACTATTCCTGTTCAAAATTAGTCTTACTGGACTTCTAAAGAAAGGTTCCACTTTACCTCTGCTTATTTAAGAATACGCAGAGGTATCAAACCCTTTCAATTAAAAATAACAAGCCCCACTACTTTTGTTATATACTGTATTGTACTTCTAATAGTACACCCCGTCAGTGAACCCAGAGCAAGGTCATTTTATACCAAAGTCTCATCTTAAAAACAATTATTTGTTCTTATATAAGAAGTCGCTGTGGTATTAATATAAGCCTTTAAGCACAAAATGCATATTAACTGTGAGATAAAAGGGTTAATTAAAATTACTTCTTTAAATACATCCAAGGTTAATTTCAATTTTGAGTTGGAATCTGTATGTGTGCACTTTACAACATATTCCTCATGACATACAAAAATCTTTTTCTCTCTTAAAAGCATTAGAAAGATTTATTACATTATAAAACCTTGTGCAAGCAGTTGCATAAGAAAACAATCATCAACTTAAAAAGTAAAGAACTATTCATGGTTCCTAATTTTAACAATATTTAGCTCCTAATTTTTTCTAATATGTACTTCTTTTATTTATCTACTTGGAAAAAAGTGGATATTTAATGTATCAGAACAATTTTGAAACGTTACTATAATAGTCTAAAACTTTCAAATGAAAGATATCTTCATATAAGTCACTAGATTTAACCAAATTTCAAAAGCCAGTCTTCAAAACCAGGAACTTATAAAGTCTTTGTCTTCATTTTCATGTTTTTACCATACTGACATGAACACATGAACTCTGTGACTGAAAGATGACTTTCTGTCATACTGCTGACGTGCAAGTAAGTCAGTAACAGAAGGACGTTTTGCTCTTGAACATCCCAGATTGACAAGAAAAATGGCAGTCCCGACATCTATTCTAAAGGTGGAAATAGTTTACTAGCTAGGAATTGCAAATAAAGAGATTTCTAATTCTGAGCAGGTGAGCAGCTTCCTGTAATTCAGTAGGATGGTAGAAGTATTGTAAATATCAGTTTATAAACAAAAATATTTTTTTCACAAATAAGAATACAATAAGGGACATCAGGGAACCTGAAGGATTATCTAAAATCACACACTAAAATAACACTGGGTTGCATTAATCAGCCCATAATTAATTTTTTCCTTATTTTCTAGTTCATACTCTTTGGAATTTCGTTTTGCTAAAATATACTAGCCTATATTCCCTATCACTATAAAGCCACGTAGATAATAAAGACTAAATCACTATTATAAAATAATAGTAACTTTCTGATTTCATCTTTCTTTCTTTCTCATATGAAACAACAATTTAACAGTTATTAGTTAACAAAGCTTATTACAGTATTCTCAAAGCACACAATATTCCTTATCTCCCCATCTGGGTTAAATCAGCCATAACTGAATAGGTTGAAAAAGATAATGCTTGTTCTGTCTCCTCCTTTCTTTAGTCCGCTGGTTCATTCTTCTTTAGCCTGAGTCAGTGGAGATAACCTAACACAATTTTTCCAACAGGATTTAAGTTTTTCTGTACTGCTGAAATAATATCACTTATTGTTATATCTGCAAGAATATCTATTATTCCTAATTATCTGTTGAAGCATGGCAGACTTTAAAATACTATCCCAACAAATGAAAGTCCACCTAATCCACTGTGATTCAGGATGACACATACTTTATTCAGTTTTAAAGAGTAATCAAAGGTGTGGGTTTAAATCCAATTAGTGTACTTCAAAGAAGATAATGTCAAAATGCTTCAAATGGTGATTCTACTGCATAACACTGAAGATCTTAACTTCTGTGAGCCTCAGATTTCTGAACTATGAAATGGAAACAAAAGCACCTTGTAAAGCACAAGGTGATCTAGGGTAAGAGATTATAAGCATAAGCTATTATTAACTAGGCTAACATTTAAAGAGAAAAAAAAATATTAGAAAATATTAGAGATCTTGGAAGTCATGTATGCACACTATAAGAAGTATCTAGTTGTCATAATGATTGTTACACTACAGACATACTGCACAGACACTTCCAATTGAACTTGATTGTAATCATTCAGAATGTTCTTATTTTCATGCTGTCTAACCCGTTGCCTCTCTTCCAGCATTCAGTCTTACTGACCTCTGGCTCACTGAAAACCAGAACATTTTCCCAAATGCCACATAATTATTAATTCATAGGAAGTTTCACAAGCTTGTGATCTGATCCATAGACAACAAAAATTGCTGTTTTGCAAAGATTTTTCCATTGATTTTGGCCCTGGACCATGCACTGAAGATCTGGCATCTGGAATAGATCTCCTTGCTTGAGAAAAGATTTAAAGTGCACAGCTGAAGTTTCTGGTAAGAAGAGTTTCCTGTCCAAAAGTACATGCAAACTGATTAAGGACAAGAAATCACCAAACATTAACAGTTCCAGATCCCAGTTCCTTGAAATAAATAAGGAAAATAATTAAAACAAAAGAGACATAATTTGGAAAGACTGCTATAAGAAAATCTTTCAAGTTAAAAAAAAATAAGGATATTTGCAGAGGAAAATCACGTGATAATGGGAAACCATGACTGAAATAAAAGGGACAAAAATGTTTACTGATGAAATTGCAAATGCAAATTTGAGGGAAGGAAATAAATGAATCACTATATCCAAAAGGATAAAGAAGAGCACACAGATGGGAATAATGAAAAACAAAACAAATGCTAATGGAAGGCCGATAATATAGAGCCCTAGAGATAACAGGGTTTAATTTGGTATAGCGTTCAATGTACAGGCTCAAGAAGTGGGCTCAACATTCTCTCAACATACAAAAGAAGATACTTCAGTAATAACATTTACCAAAATGCAGAGAGGAAAGAGAAATAACAGGCAGGATAACATTGCAACAACCAAGTAAGAGGATGACAAGTGTTTGGGATAAGTGAGAATGGATCGATCCTGAAGCTACTGAAACAGAAGAGCCACAGGAAACACATACAGCAATAACCACAAAAACACATGCAGCTTGCTATCATATTTTATTTTTCAGAAGAAAACATACGTTAATTATAATATTGCTTCTCCTTTCCCTGTTTGGTAAAGAGTGCATCTACAATGTACTTCAGAGGAGCAAGTGCATCATTGTATGTCACCTGACCCGGCCCAGACACAAATTAGCCAGCTCTGGTATTTTGATAGCAATGTATCGGTAATGGCACAAACCTCAGAAGTGAATTAACCATCTCAGCATCTATCTAGTCTCAAAACATTTGGGGCTGTGCTGACATTGCTATACAGCCTAATTTGACTGTGCCTACACAAATGGCAGTCAGCTCACTGCAGGTATATGTCCATTTATATGATCACTAGCGCACTGAAGATATTTCATTATACAATTCACAGTAATATGAAAGATGAATGTAAACATCATATAAATGAAACAACATAAGCAAATAAAAACTGCAGATAAGAAAGACAAAAAGGAACAAAAATGTCAAAATAATTATTATTATTCAGTCATTTCAAAACCCACCATTGAACATCTTTTTTTAAGCTGACCACCAAAATGCTGGAAGGAAAAAAGTAGCTAGATGTAGCTCTACATATTTTCATACTGCATTCACAAAAAAGGCTTACAAGTTCTTCACATTACCTATTTGCCATTCACTTACAATCTTAGCAAAGGCTACTAAAAGGGAACTGTTCAGAATGTAGTACAGTAACAACCATAAACATTCAAAAACGTTTTTAAAATCAGAATAAATTATACTTCTTTGGAACAAAAAGCTATCTTACAGTTTCAGATGAGAGGAAAATAGATGTGATTCTACCAGAAATTGTTAGAATATAATAATAACCCTTAATATATTGTGGTAATTTACCTTCACATAATGCTACTGCAGTAGATCCTGGAATTCCAGTAGCTGTCCAAAGAACACACAGTGATAATATATGGTTTGTTCCCAGTTTGTTTTCAGCAATACAAATGCTAAATCAAAATTAGCATGCTAAAGGCTGAACCAAGAAGGCAATTAGGTTACTAAACAGAATCAATAAATGCAAAATGAAGCTCTGCATGTGTCCAAAATAACGTGTTTCCCACCTAATAACTTATATCCAAATTCCTGTTAGGCTGAGCAAAATATTCTACAATATTTTCCCCTAAAATCCTATAGTGTCAATCAGGTAAAAAAAAAAATACATTTAGTTTATGCAGAACAACCCCTTCTGAAGTATGTTTTTCAACCAATACTCTTTCAAAAGTACAGACCATTATGCATTTCAGTGTTTTGTCTCTTCCTGCATTACAGTGGCAGCTCAAACAAGCAAAGAGCTTCATTTGGCTTGTTAACTTTGGCACAGCAGGCAGTTGAGAATTTTAAAACAATTTAGAGAACAAGAAGAACAGAATCTATCTGAAGTGTACTGTAATTTGGGGGGGGGGGGGGAAGAGGAGGAGTGGTATCACTTCTAAAGTGATTTTGAAGGGATCTCTGGAGATTGTCAGGTCCACCCACCCTGCTCAGAACAGAGTCATCAAGAAGAGGTTGCTTCGTACTGTGCCTAATCAGACTTTGAATACCTCCATGGATGGTTGTGTTCCTCTCTGGGCAGCCTGCTCCAGGGTCTTCAACTCATTCAAACTAAAATGAAAATGCAATAAATCAAAGGTATTTTTTGCTCTACAGATGTGAAGCAAGGAAAAGAAATATTGTTCTCCCAGTTAGTGCTGCCTAAGCTATGTCCTGAGGAAATGAGTAGCACCACATGTTGCAAGTCACACAGTAACAGAGAAACAGCAGCAGCGCACTTCTGTGCACACAGCCAACAACCCTCCGAGTGCAGGACACAGTATAAATGTCTCAAATATATTTTCTCTGCTTCAGCCCCTTTCCTTCTGTTCCCTCATTCTTCACTATTTGATCCAATCTATAAGAACTGAGATTTCACCATTCAGTTCACATGAAACAGATGCAAAGCACTCTTAACATTTCTCAGCCATTCTGCGCTCATTTCACACAGCTGAGATTCACTACAAAAGGTACTAGGCAGTCAAGAACCATGTCTTTTGGGCTACTGTCTTCTGCAAAACAGAGATACTATTACAGGTTATTGAACTAACTGAACAAAATACTACTACTTAGTCTAGCAGAATATTTCAGCCTTCTCCCAGATGAAAATAAAGCCTTTCCGATACCCCTTGGCTCCAAAATATTTACTGTTCTGTTGTCACTTTAATGCTGAATACAGCCATTCCTTCTGATAATCTACATAGCACCTTCTGCATAAGCAGAGTAAAGAACACTTCTCAATTTCGTCTAGTTCTGAATGGCTCTGATTTATAAGAAATTAAAGATATAAACAGGACAGTGAAGGCAGAGGGGAAACCTGCAAGGAGAAGCATCCATAATAAAACAAACGATACCGATATCTTTCCAGTGGCACTGCTCTGCACTGTATTTTCCCTGGGCTTCTCTGAGAACCCAGCAAGATGAAACTGCATAAGGGTGGTTGGAAGCTCTTTTTAAGGCTCGAAATTGTAAAGTTAAAGTCTGTGCTGCACCCATCAGAAGAGAACGACCTGGACCTACCCATCACTGAAAACTAACACAATTCTCTATTTTAAGAAGCAATTATTCAAAGCAATTATTTCCATAGTCAGTAACTGAAGGTCACCTGTTACTCTGTAGAGTAACCATAGATTTATTCAAATGGAGAAATTTTATATGAGAAGAATTTTTGTAACTCCTCATCAGTGACTTCCAATGCTGTTAGAAATGATTTTAGGTAAAGAACAATCTCAGCTGGATTTTTCCACTTCGTACGTTCAACTATCTCAGTATTCCATTGTGCCACCATATATACATACCTCCATACATTCATGAGTGATTAACTGATGTCACATTCATGTTCATATTAACATGTGCAGTTTGAAATAAACACAGCTGCATTTATGTCCATGATTTTATATTCAAATATATCTGATTATGCTGAAATAAACACAGCTGCATTTATTTCAGTGATTGTACATTCAGATAAGGATATTTGTTCAGTGTAATGTAATGTTCCTTCACACTGGCAGGGACATTGCTATTCTTTCTTGTATTTCCCTCTATCATTTTTCCAGATGGAAAATTCTGAACAGAGCCAGGAAAATGGAAACTGGAAAATTTATCTCAGAACCTGGTATATATGAAAATCCTGCTGCTTATTCTCAAAAATGATGTAAACATCTTTGTGTAAAGTACAAAGTTGAATTTCTTTCATTCCTTAACTGTCAAAGAGCAAGCTTACAAAAATCCTACCAAAAATTGAAAGACTGATGGAAATGTCAGTACCAGGAATGTGTACTGTGAAATCTTAAGATTGGATCTGTACCAGGTGTGTTTCCGGACAACTGCTGTTGGTGTTCGCACACCATCTTCAATCACTATCTTCCTAAGAAAATTAGTTTGAATGGAAACAATAAGTGTAAAATTTTCCTTCCTATTATCTGATCAAATTATAGTTTTGCATGATGTTAATTTTGGCTTGTAAGTAGAACCTGTAATCTATTTTTTAGAAAATAATAAAAGATTATCATATGTATGAAAAGTGATTAACCATTTAACCAGATGTATGTATCAGGTGAGATCAAGGTCTGTAACTGAGTAACTGCCAGAAATGGATCCCTAGAGCAGAGCATGGGCACAAAGCAATTGTTTGAAGATTCCTGCCCAGAATAATTCCCCAAATTACACTGTACAGTTCATGAGCCATCTGAGCCAGAGATGGTGGCAGTGTTTAGTAGCTCTCAACTGATTTTTCTTCCCTCGTCTTGTCAGTTGTTCTTTTTTGCTTGAAAGCATGGCACATAAACTTTTAGCATCCACAACATCCTGCAGGAAGAAGCTTCACAGTTTAATTCAACACTATGTGAGGAACCATTCTTCTTTGTTTGCTTTCAACACGTTAACTGTTAGTTTCTTTCAACGGCCCTTAGTTTTTGCACAAAGAGAACAGACAGGGTACAACTGTTTCATATTCACTGACATTTTGCCTAGGAATCATGATTTTATAGACCTCTAACATATTCCTCTTCAGTTATGCCTATTCCAGACCAAGGTTTACTGCTCTATTTGGTTGTTTCTCATAGAGAGGCTGTTGAAAATCTGCTCTGAATTTACAATTATCTGGTCTCAGACATTTCTGCTTCCATTTCCAGTTGCTTATTCTAGTCCCACTCAGGTCAGTTAAACAGCAAAAAACAGAGGCAGGAGAGAAAGGCGAGGTCTTGAAGAAGGTAGCATGATAATCAGAAGATAAACCGACTGTGAAAATTATAATCAGCACACCAACTACAATTAACATACTAATTCTTTACTGATGCTATTATACTAATTATTCTCACATTGCCATTAGCTCCATAAGTCATTAATATCTATTTTCCACAAGTTAAGATACCCAACTAATGCAATGTTTGTTAGCTGGTATCACATCAATGCTAAGTGTCTCCCCCCTTGTAAAAATGTCTTCCGTGGTATATTCTGTTTAGATATTTAAAAGGTTAATATTTAGTTCCATTTGCAATGCTGACCTAGCAAGAAAGAAATTAATTTGGCATTACGGCAGTGACATCAATTTCCCATGTAACTTTAGTAATGCATTTACTGGAAAGAGATTAATATCAATTCCATAAATCATTCACATGCTTTTTCCGGAGTTTGAGACATCTGAGTAATGTCATATATGTTAACTGATATCACTTTGTGCATGCTACATCCATTAATCTATGCCTAGGGTCATCATTAAAAAAACAACAAAAATTTCTAATCAATCTTTTGTTCTTGATTTTTCTGTGTGACTTCTAACTTGCAGTAGCGCAAAGGTATTGATATTCTGATAGAATAACACTGCTCTGAGCTGGGAACAGGCATTTCCAGAAAAGGGAAGCATTTGTTAAATTATCCCTCCTGGTAGCAATAACCACTTAATATCTTCATGTGAAATATGGCATACATTGCTGTCAACAAATAAGGAAATAACTAAAGTGTTTCGTTAATCAGACACACCTCAATGCCACTGAAGTAGGCTGAAAACAGACTATTACCGATTAATATATTGACTTCCATTTATTTTGGTTTTACATTGTGTATGAGCATTCTCAATAGATGTGAAAGCCAAGAGAGCCTTCCTGACTCAGTGATTCTAGCTATACATGACATATTATAATGTAGGAAGTTTGGAATAACAATTAGTTTTTGCTCCAAAACACAGTTTAGTCTACCACTAAAATTGTTTACACTGGAAGAAAGTAGCCTTAAACAGCTTTTACACCTTTTACTTCTAGTAATGTGCCATTATTACATGTGCCTGTATTGCTTTATCCCTGTTATAGGATATCGCAGTAGTGCCACTGAAATCAAGGTGAAGATGAGTATTTCTGTTCACCTAAATATAAACACTCACCGGATCAGCTTGTTTAACAGTTTTGGAAGCATTTTACAATTGCATATTAGATGGCCAAAATGCAACTACTTCTTAGGGTAGATCTCAGGTCTTCTTTGAACGTAATGATAACAGTGTCATCTTCTGTATCATCTGAGTTTCCATTTTTAAACATTTTACAAACAAAAATGTCCCTTTCAGAGAGTGTTTTACATCACAAATTTTATAGTATTTTATTAAACACAAGTAAGATTAATCTCACCTAATTTTAGCTGTCTAAAGTTACATGCCAAGTCTTAGCAACTGGGACATAGGCACCCCCAAAGGGCAATTCATCCTATATTATCTTTACTTTTGTTCAAAAGATACTTTTCCTGGTAAAGCTCAATGGCCTATTTTACGCCTCTAAGTGGTTACAATGAGATCAGCGGAATTACAATCACTTACTGCAATTTTGAGTGTTGTGCAAAGTGTTTTATAAGTACATTATCCTATTTTTGAAATATAGAAAGATATTTAAAACCTTAACAAAAATGATATGAGGGTGCTTCTCAGTCACATGAGATCTCTTAATACATTGTAAATCTCACATTTCCCAACTGATTAACAGCATTTGCAAGCCATCAGCACGGATTTTTCTAATCAGGTTTCTAATACCAAATATTTTATAAACCTGCTGTAGAAGACAAACTCGTGTTTGTCAACCATTTCCACTGCAAGGTGGTGGTACATCAGTCAACATCATAATATGAGGTTTACAGTAATTGAGATTGGAGCCCAAATTTTACAAAACTTTAATTACAACCTTTTGAACATAAACCACAATACACAAATTACCCAATCATAACATTTTTTCATTAAAAAAATAAGGATTCATCCAAAAGATAGAAGATTTAATGACTCTTGGCGGAGTTCCACTTTTTGGTTGAAATGAGAATAAAAGCAGACAGCAGCTTTGCTTCTAATTTCAAGAAACACAGTATTTTTTAACATTTAAACAGCATTATATTTGACTAACAAGCCAAAATATGTATTTTCAAAACCTTTTAAAAAGCCCTTGTATTTAGCAGTACGAATGTTGAGATTTGTGAACCTCTGAGAGCCAACTCTGTTCCTTTAATCCCCAAAAGCAATTATAAAACAAGCAATCGGAGCCACAAGCAGCAGAAACTGTGAGTTTGGGTTTTTTAACCATCCTCACAACACATCACAGTCTCCCACCTAATGCCAGCTTCCTTCCGTATTCTTAATGATACCCTACCAGGCAGGACAGAAGGCATTGTGGTTAATCCAGAAGTACTTGCAAGCCAGTGCAACCAACCAATACCAGTCTGTGGTGACTGGCAAGCCAGATCATACCAAAAAGAAGGAACTTTGGTCCTGTAAAGCACTATGAGCACTGCAGTGAAGGTGGTTGCTGAGTGGAAGGCATCTCTTACAGACTTTCTGAAGGCATGTTTCTGTAGCAGTTGTAGGAACACAGCCTGAATGCATGAGCGTGAGCCATGTGCTTCATACCCTGCTAGAGTAGGTGTTGATGGACTCTAGACAGTCAAGGCAAGGTATTTGACAGGACAAGTCATACGTATATGAGATGAGAGTGCAGGGAACATGAACTGCTTCCACACTCAGAGAACCTAGTCAATCAGCAATGCTCCCAAAGGACAGCATAAATTGCTGCTAAACTGAAACTGTTTTAATAATTTAATGCATTAATGACTAATAGGAAAAGGAACTACAACTGACCAAATGTATACATTTCAAATGTGACATCTCCTTTCCATTGGTTCTATGTGTAGATAATTGTGCTTCCATTTTCCCCCGAAACTAACTCATGTTTCTTGCGAAAATCAACACTATTCAAAACATTTTGTTGTGGTATGCAAGAAATCTGACTTTTCATCAGTTTCTTTTATGCCAATGATAAATCAATATTAAAAGTTTCTTTTGGCCACGTATATTCTTAAATATTAATAAAAACAACAAGGAAGATTCCAGTTGGAACACTAGCTTGACTTACGGGAAACACAAATTCAAATTCCTGGCATACTTGTAAGTTGATAATTCTCTCTCTCCTTCACTCCTCGATCTGTTATTTAAAAGACAAAGGGTTCAACCACCATTCTTCATTTTCAATAACTGTATTTATTTTACAGCAATGATTCCTTCACTAGCATTAGATTCATTAGGGTAGGTTAAGTGCAAGCTACAAACTGGTTAGGTAGCGCTTCTGAAAAGGAGCTGGACACTATAATGGATCACAAATCTTATAGAAGTCAACAGGTTTTTTTGTGAAAAAGATTGGACTGTCACAGAGCAGAAGTAAATAGATTGCAAGGCATGTCATGTCATAAGCTCTACATAGATCTGGCACCGGCTTATCTGAGAATCACATTCACCTTGGACCACTGCCTTTCATGGAACAGCTGGAGAAAGACCAGAGGAAATAAAGAATGATAGAAAATTTGGAACATGGCACCAGTAAGGAACTACTGAAAAAAATAGCAGTTATTTAACCTGAGGAGGGGAAGGCCAAGGGAAGATATGACCAGCAGCTTTGCATTAAGTCTAAGAAAGGAATATTCAGCTTTCTGTGCCTATAGGACTGGACAAGAATTAATGCATTTTTGGTATGAACATTTCTACATAGAAAGAAAATGTTTCTTATACTGAGCAAATTGCTCTGTTAGAATGGATTGCTGCTTTCTCACTGAAACTTTCTTCACTGAAAGTCTCTGAAAAGGATACATAAATATCTGCCAGGAATGGCAAAAATAGTGTATTCCGACTCTCAAAACCAGACTGGACTAAAAAGAAATCCCAATGCCCATTTCAATTCTACTTTTTATGATTTTTGAAAGCAAGGCATTTCAAAACAGCCAACTGGACACCGGTTTTCAGACTACATAAAACTTGGAATTATTACAAAACTGATGTGATTCATTTTCATAGAACCATGAATTCTAGAATGGTTTGGCTTGGGAGGAACCTTAAAGCTCAACTAGGTCCAACCCCCTGCTGTGAGCAGGGACACCTTCCATTAGTCCAGGTTGCTTAAAGCCCTGTCCACCCTGGACTTCCAGGGATGGGGCAGCCACAGCTTCTCTGTGTTTCAGTGCCTCACCACCCTCATTATAAAAAATCTCTTCCTTATGTTTTTCCTCAGTGTGGCTTTACCCTGCTGACAACTAAGTACCACGCAGCTGCTAGCTCACTCCCCCCTCTCCCAGTGGGATGGGGATGAGAACTGGAAAAACAAAGTAAAACCCACGGGTTGAGACAAGAACAGTTTAATAATTAAAGTACAATATAATGCTAACAATAATAATAATAATAATAAACTGGGAAATAACAAGCCTTGTAAAAAGTCTTCCTCCCATCTTTCTTATAAGAAGTCCTCTCTATGCACTGAATAAGGTCTCCCTGGAGCCTTCTCTTCTCGAGGCTGAACAAGCCCAGCTCTCTCAGCCCATCTTCACATGAGAGGTACTCCAGCACTGATCATCTTTGTGGCTTCCTCTGGACTCCTGTAGCCGGTCCATGCGTTTTTTGTAGTGGGGACCCCAGAGCTGGATGCAGTACTCCAGCTGGGATCAGTTTTATAACCTGTTCTTTGAAAAATAAATTCCAATAGGATATTACCCTTTTAAGCTGGTACTCAAAGAGCATCAATACACTACTGTATAAATGTTGCATACTACTGTTTGGATAATAGAAGGGGATAGATTTCAGCATTAATAACAATTTCATAAAATATCCAATAATCAGTTAATTTGCTTTGACCAGTTGAGATACTCTAAGTAATTACTCGGCTGACATATAAGAAAAGATAAAGTGAATTTACATATGAAGTGCACACAATATCATTATCATTCTTGCTAGTACATTGCCATCATGAGAAAGTAAATGAAGGTATTAATTTTATTCATATTTGTACTTTGGAGGTGTCTTAATATGCAAAGCAACATCACAGTCTCATCATGCTACAATGTAAATAAACACAGGATTTCAAATAGCATCTGCCTCTACCACATGCTATTATTGTCAAAGTATATAAAGTATGAGTGTTACCTTTGAACTGAATAAATGTTTTAATTTAAAGGCACAATTAATTCCATTGTTCAAAAACTGGAATTAAACCATCAAGCAATAATTCACATTACTTCTCAAACAGTTTGATGGCTGATGATGATCCTTTTCATTGTAGAGCAGCTAACACAATAAAGTAAATTTCTTAGCTTGGTCAACTGATTAATTTCATAACACAAAAATTCATAAACCCATAACTATTATGAAATAGCATTCTAAGAATTTTTAAAAACCACATTTTAAAAACAGCCTGAACCGTTAGAGACGAACCTTAAAAATAAGACACTCTTTATTATTCACTGCATCCTTTACACCTTTCACATAATGTAATCAAAGGATTTAAATAACTCAATTTAATATTTATCCAGGAACTGGCAGCCAGTATTCTACCCTGAGGGATGTAACTCTTCATAAAAAGCACATTTTACAAGACACTGTGGCAGTTTTGGCATTACCAGCACCATGCACATAAACCATGCTGAAACTCTGGTTTATCCTGCCAAATGCCTTTTGTACATATGGTGTTTAACAGTGCTCTGTAGATCTGTAAGCCAATAGTAATAGATTTAAAATCTGGAGACACACGTATATGTAACACAAAAAATTAAACATATATATTATTACCTACATACCCCCTATGCATATAAACATGCATGATGAAAAATATTATCTAAATTAATGTGCTAACTTGCAAAAATAATTTCTTTCAATTTGCAGTAGCTTACTAAAGTTTCATTCTCCTTCTAATGACATCTGAGGCTGAACTTCCATTAACCTTAGCAGTACAAAATTAGGCCACAAGAAACACAAAGAAACATATTTACACATCTGTAAAATCTTCTAATTATGCAAGGATGGGCTTGGCACTTTACCAGGTTAACTTTATGAGCTTAACTTCGCCAGTAAATTTCCAAATCACATTTTAAAATAACATATTTTAAATACCACACCTTTGATTAGATGTAGATTTGTTAGATGAGATTTGTTATACACAAATACCATATCTAACAGTGGAATAAAATCCAGTTATGTATCTACATGTGCTAAGAGATGGACTTGATGAAATGTACAGTTGTAATAACAAACTTCACACGCCTTTTTACATTTGAATAGTCTGAATTTATGTCGTACTCTGGATGAAGCAAATGTGAGTTTAATTAGCTTTAAATGCAAGTCTTCCTCTGAATTAAAACACTTTAGAATCAGAATAGCTAGGGTTGGAAAGGACCTTAAGATCATCAAGTTCCAACCCCCCTGCCATGGGCAGGGACACCTCACACTAAACCATGTCACCCAAGGCCTCGTCCAACCTGGTCTTGAACACTGCCAGGGATGGAGCATTCACAACGTCCCTGGGCAACCCATTCCAGTGCCTCACCACCATAACAGGAAAGAATTTCCTCTTTATATCCAACCTAAACTTCCCCTGTTTAAGTTTTAACCCATTACCCCTTGTCCTATCACCACAGTCCCTAATGAAGAGTCCCTCCCCAGCATCCCTATAGGCCCCCTTCAGATACTGGGAGGCTGCTATAAGGTCTCCACGCAGCCTTTCTATAAAGATGAGTGATATAGCTAAAATCATTACTATACTGACATCTCCACAACATAAAACAACACCAAAAAATGCTTACCACTTTCAAAACAGGCATCAAATATAAGATGTCCTTTTTTAGGCAGTCCACAATAACCAACTGGCAGAACAGTGTACTTGCTCACATTCCCTGCTATGATATCATCACTTCCTATGGCACTACCTGTTGCAATAAAAGCAAACAAAAGCATGAGAATAAACAAAAAAAAACCTATAAAAAACAGTAGAAAGACATTCCCCCCTGCTTTTCTATGTAACATGAGATTTGCACCATTTTACACATGCACCAGTAAATTAACTGTTTCTTTTCAAAGTTTATTTAAGAATTGGGACATAACAACAGCATCATATGTTAAAGCTTCTTTAAGTAAGAAGCCACACAGCCTTGTTTCTTTCATGTGCTTGCCCTGTGGCGGAATGCTTACATGCAATAGGCTGATATTCAGCTGAATCCACTTCTTCTGAATGGAGCTCTAGTACGTATATTCTGCATGGATTGAATTCCTCAGCAGCTTCTTAATCATAATCCTCAGCGCCATATTCCTCACTATAGGCTTTAATGGGATCTTTTTCTTCTATCCTGCTGCCTATTTTCACACCTCTTAGAACCTTTGAGACTGTTCAGTCCCACACATATTTGAAACTTGAAAATCCTTAGAAGGGAGAGACAGTCATGCAGGTGTGTGACTGATCACCTGTGCCTTGCTTGCTTAGGAAACAAAACTCAGAAAAAGAACTTAAAAGTGTTTTTAAACGTGGGGGTTATTTCATAATAAAATAGATGGGGATGTAAATTTTCTATAGAATGTCATGATTTTTGTCAAAATGTTATCAGTAGTGTCTACAGTGAAAGTTGTGTCTTGCCAAAAAAACATTAACAAACTGTAGTATGCAAAAAACAGGCTTCCAAATAAAGGGTGGAAGAACACAGGGATTTTTTTCATTTGAGAAATGTACAAGAAAGTAAGTTAATATTTATACATTATATTATACATTAACATTAACATTATAGTGTAGTGAAAGAAATACACTATAATATAACCAGGTGTTCATTTTTCTGACATTGGCTCAGCATTTTCTTCACAAAAAATATTTAACAATAGAGAAAATATCTTAAATGTAAGAGAAAACTAGAAGAAATGTATATGTCTTCAAGTGCAGAAGGCATGTGATGGAGTAATGGGATGATAATATCTTATTTCACTCTGATAAATAGGGTTACTAAAGCTTCTAGAAATAGACTTTTGGTCTGTACTGATTTTTTGACATTTAAATGGGTTACAGGGGATGATGAATGTGACATAAAGCTCAATTTGTTTTATTTTTATATTGAAAACTATTTCACACAAATGTTACAAGCGATTCATATTGGCCCTGAATGATGAAAACAGCTTATTAATTAAAACTGACCTTTCCATACATAAATGTATTCCACCTCTTGAGGCAAAACACCTTAGCTGAGGTAACAGATTATATGAATGTATTAGTGACACCACAGTTAAAGGGGCTGTCAGGCTTTCTATTATATACCCATATTTTCAGAGGTATGTCAATCCCAGATTAAAAAATATGTATATCCAGGCCAACACTCAGCATATAAATCCCCAGTGCTCCCGGGGGAAGAATTCTGAAACTTACTCTCTTTGGGAAGTACTGCAATAGTACAAAGACAATTCAGACTCTTTCTTACATAATCATCATCCAAAAAGATAGATATTAAATAATACACGCTATTATTTTTTAGCAAAATTATTATTTGCAACCTCAAGGTTATTTGTTTTAAACTGAATAAAAATTACCCACAGAGAGCAATCTGCAGCATTTAGAGTGTTTTCTTTAAATGCAAAATTGCTAGTTATGATCTTTTTAGCTAGATGGTACATGCTGATACAATTTGCCTAAAGGCTGGGGACACCGGAAGCAAGCTTAGACCTGGCTGAGGCACCTGTATGGCCAAAATCGTGTCTCTTGGTACAATTCCTCCCCCTGCATCATGCACCTGTAATTCATAACAGCAGCCACAGGGAAGCCTTTTCCTCAGTTTAAATTCAGGGCCACTTTGATTAAGGGTCCCCATACACCCTTCACATTTAGTCAAGTTAATTGGTCGTGATCTAGCACCTGGAATCGAGGATACAAAGAATAATTCAGGGGAAACCTGCAGATCTCTGCCAAAAATGCACAAGCTGCCAGGGCCCAAAGTGAAAGAATGGAAGGCAAGGAGTCAACTGAGTAAAGCAGTAAGAAGACTCAGTTCCTCCTCGTAAATGCTTACTTGTAAGTCTCAACTAAAAGTAATAGGCTTCTCGTAAATCTTAAAAGATGCCTAAATAAAGATCAGAAAATCACAGAATCATTTAGGTTGGAAAAGACCTTTCAGATCATCAAGTCCAACCTAACCTAACCATAAACTTAACGTTACCAAGTCCTTGTGAGGTTCTTTCTCAAAACCTTTTCATTACAACGTTAATAAACCCATGCCAAACTTTCAAGCTGTTTCAAAAGAATCTAAGAAAGAATTTATTATTTTTAAAGATGAAGGAACTAGAAAAGATTATATTCCTAATACTGCCACCATAAGGCAGTGTGGGAAAAGCAGGCAGAAAACAGAGTTAAATCTCCTTTTCCACCTGACACATGAGAAAATCTGTCAATGGAGGCTTTACGTGATGCAAAATGAAGCTGTCAAGTGACTGTGTCCTAGCAAAAAGTTTCCATCTGCTTCTCCTGGCCTTATGTAGCCGTCCAGGAACAAGAATAAAATCATCAGATAACCTATAAATCATAGTAGTTTAATAATATTAATCTCTCCCTGCATGCTCTTTATTACATAGCACTTTGAATATTCAGATTGTAGTGTTGTTCTATTTTGAGTTATATTATCTTCAGTTAATCTATAAACATACAAAACTGCAGTCTTTGAACTTCATGTTATACAGCACAACAGCATTATGCCCTTTCTGGCATGCTGTCCTTCGGTGATAAAGAAAAGGCCAGACTACTGGCCAAGAAAGAGCCTGCATTGCTGTATTACTAGATTATAAAACATGGCTTCACGCTTGTCTGTTCGGCAGATGCAGAGAGTGTTGCTGAGAATACATTACCACCTTCAGATGGAGAGAACTGTTACACTGTGCTCTAAGTCTTCTGGCCAATATAGAGATATTGTCCTCAGGACGGGGGAGCCCTAAGCAGATTTTCCTGACTGACGGCAAAGAGGTATGACAGAACCTTGTAGGAAAGGGAAATAGTACTTCAATCTGAAACAAACTGAAAGGGAAAGAAGAGAATTAACTGAAGCACATCCTGCCCATTGCACCTGGGGAGACCAGATTCTTTCTTGAAGAAAGCTTAGATGAGAAAAGGCAAAAGTAACTTAGCAAAGAAATTTTCTTGGACTGTAGGTCTTATTCTGTCAATTATTTTTCTTATAAGTTGTAAGACACATAGCTATTTTATTCTAATGCTTCATACCTTAAACTCCTGGAGTCTCCAGCAAATCCCTAGGATTTACTTTTAGCACAGTATTAAACTTTAATGGTAATTTTCTATCAGGTATAAAATCTGTAGGTGTCTGAAATCTCTGTAAGTATATAAGGATTTAAAATAAAACCTGGACAGATTCTTTTGGTTTCTGCATTCATCACTATTGTCATTGTGGATATATTTCACATCAAACTAATGAAAATTAATAGAATCAGTTACAGGGGACTGGGATTCTTAGGAGAAAAAAATTGGAAACTTCCAGAGCTTCCTGCTATTCTGGAGTTCAAAGGGTAAAGACAACATTTTTATCTAAGCAAAGATGAAAACAGTATTTGCTACAATGAACATCATGCAAATTTAGGTACATTTTCTTTAAAAACTCAGTTTCTAAAGGAAGGTGCCTCTTTAGTCAATAATAGTTACTCTTTAGACTGGGTAAACAACGAGCCCAGCTTCCAGATGTGACAAACTTCAGACTCCAGTTAGCAGCCGGCAGCTACCCCCATACTACATTAGGGAGGAGAGCACAGCTGCATTAAAACAGACATAGGGAAATAGCGAGTGAATTTGCCTGGAAAACCTGGATCATTCTTATGATGAGCCTTATTGCCTAACAAGGATAATCAATTGGAAAGGTAACATGGAAAGACAGATAACTGCCAAGTAAACTTTGTAGAAGTCTTTATTTAAATATAACAAATGCCATCAAGGTGCCTCTCATTCTCTTATGAGATCCTTATTTCAGAACAAACTCAGGATACATTTTGCTACTGAACATTTCTATGGTGTAAAGATCTAATGGCCAGATTCTCATCATCTAGGTGCCAAGAAAAGTTTCCAGGTATCCTAACAAAGCTTCAACAGCCTTGAGCAGGACTGTTAGTGTAAAACCACAGAAAGAAGCGAATCTAAACTCTCAGTCCAATCTGCAACAAACAAAAGTTCATCCAGATGACCAATGGCAACTCCTATTAGCTCCTAAACATAATGGGTCTCTCAATGAACATTGCTCGTGTCAGAAAAGTAACACTTACAGAGGATTAACCCAAGAACAGTGCTCCAGAAATCAGAAAACTGCAAACAGGGCAATCTTAGCAAAATTCTTCTATATGGTCAGATTTGTAGAAATCTATAGTCTTAATAGGTGATAATATTCTCTTGTTCTTTAATATATTTTTTTAAATGGGTTTTCTATCATTGCGCCTAGGCTTTGGCAGCACTGATATTCAGGAAGACTTCCTATTTCCGCTATCAGTTCTGAATGCTCAGAATTTACCTCATCATCTCTGCTAAACTAGTGCCTGCCTTTTAGTCTGCATTTTCTTCAATACCCTCTTATTGTTTGGGGGCAGCCTCTTGACAAGCACTGTGTTGGTCAAACTGCAGGAGGAATGCCATTCTAAAAACGCTACAGGCATCAGCAGGCAGGAACTTAGAATTCCAGCTCCACTGGCTTAAAAAATGCCAAGAAAAAGAAGAAATCACAACTATCATTTTGATCTTCACAGCCATGTATCCTGCAGCAAAGATTGGGCACAACCCTGAGAACCTAAACATACTGCAGAGAGTTTTGTCAGTCTGAAATGTACTTATTTCACAATCACTGTGATCTGAAAAGAAATGGGAGAAATTATGTGAAGATTACAAATCCCAGGGTTTGGAAGAATACCTGGCATG